TGGGGGACGCAGGACCTGGGCTGTTCTGGGGCCAGCAGCAGTAGTCCCGGCCCGACTAAGTTATACCCCACCTCGCCAGCACCCAACGTCGCTCGGGAGAGGAGGGGCGGGGGCGGGGGAGGAGGGGAGGAATGGGGTGGGGTGAGGGAGGAGCAGGGGTGGGAAAAGGTGGAGTGGGGACTTGGGGGAAGGGGTGGAGTGGGGGTGGGAGGTAGACGGGGGGCGGGTTGTCCCAGCCCCAGTGCCCCCCTATGGGTGGCCCTGGAAAGAGTCATAAGAGATCTCCACAACTCAGTCCTTCTATGCAAAGAACCTGTATGAGAGCGTGAGTCAGCTTTGGGATTCCAAAGAGTCGGACCAAAGAGGCACAGGGATCAGGCTTCCCTCCACATCCCAGTTGGCCCAATGAAAGAAGGCAACGTCCGGTGAATGTTGGGAAGTGAGGACCTGCTGGAGAAGGTCTCTCAGGAGCTCCAGGGAAGAAGGCAGGGCAGCTGCACCCACTTTCCAGAAGGCTGTGGGCAGATATCAGCTCCCTGAACCAAAGGGCACTTACAGATCTATGCTCCCTTTTCTTTTGCTGCCTCTTGTTGGGAACCTTTGGATGCAGCAGCCCAAAGGCCTGAGGCCTGTCTTTGCAGTAAAGGGTCAGGACTCTTTCCCAGAAGAAGGCTTTTCTTCCAAATTGTGCTATGTGCTGTGGGGATGGATGAGGCCCTAGGCTCCAGCATGGAGTGAAGCAGGGAGGAGAAGACTCTGCTTGGGCAAGGGGCTCTGGCTATTAATGGAGTGGGGGCCCCAGGGGATTCTGGCTCTTTGCTTATAAGGAAATAAGGACGGTGGCACTTACCAGTGTCACACGCTCCTCCTGGTCTTCAAGATGCAGCAGCAGCGGGAGCAAGCAGTTGATCATTTCCTGCTGCACCATGCCTTTGTCCGGGTCCTTCACCCTGCTCACCACCTTGCCAAGCAGTAAAATGGCAGCGGAGCGCACACTGCCCCTCTCCTGACAAGGACACACAGGGAGTGGGGAAGCCCGGTCAAAGCCAGGCAGTATCAGAGCATAACGCAACAGAGTCATAATCCGCCCACTGCTCCGGTTCCCCCTGTGTTAACTGACTTGGCTCATGGGAGCAGTGAGGCCACCAGGCCAGCGCCATAGACATCTTGTGCAGAACAGGGCCTGAGACACTGTGCAGGGCAGTGCAGCCCCTTGGTGTCCCAGACGCAATTTCTGTCTGGAGAGCACCGAACCCTGGAAGATTAGGGGAGAGGGAGGGAAGGCTGCTGGAGACTGGTCTGGGGAAGGGGAGAAGCAGCTGCTGGAGCCTTGCAGGGACGTGCTGCTACAAAACACAGCAGTTCTTTTGCTCTTCAGTTCCCCTGAGAGCCGGGCCATTCCCACCTCTTTCCTGCTGGGAATCTCCACCTCTTTGGGGGCTGGCGTTCTCCAGACAGCGGGTCATCCTCCCACTGCCAGCCCCTCTCCCCCAGGCCAGGCTGCAGCAGGGGCTGAGAGCAGGGCGCTGAGGCTGAGGTTTGCCGAGAAGAGCTCTGA